TTTTTTTCAGCATTTCCATACACCCTGCAAAATTTTATCGCATGCGATAAATATCTCGTCTATTCTAGCTCAGCGAATTCTACACACAAGCAGCGGCGCTCTTGCAATTTTACCTCTTTCGTTTGCAAAACTCCCGCCCATCACCACCCAGTTCGCGCTCTCGCATGACTTTTACTCTCAAAATCACAAATTCTCATTTTCACTGAGCATTCGAAATTTCCCGGTTTTTCTTTTGCACACTCACGCGTTCGTTGCACTTCGTTTCCGTTCTATTCATGGATTTTCCTACTTCTCAGAATGTTCTGTGTGGGAATTTTTTGTTTGCAATCAACCTTAAATCGCAACGGTAATTCCGAGGATTAAGCACAACAATAACGGATAATTTGTATTGGTATGTACAACCATACGAAGCGTATGTATGTAGTTGGCTGCTTGAGCCCTCATACATATATTTCTATGTTCATAGGTAAGTGTAGTTGCGGTTGGAAATTCCTGCAGTAGCCTTTACCAGCCACCCAACATTGTCGTTCTCACCACTCCTTCTGCTTCTTAAAGCTCTTTGAGGCAGTAGTCAATTTCTCGTTCGGTTCAGTCGGTCAATTTGTCGCTTGTTCTAGTCGAGTATCTGTCTGGGATGTAGTCAGTCGTTGAGTCATACAGGCGAACAAACTGGCGGGCGGATACTCAGATAGCAGGTAGGTGGTCAAGCAGACAATTCTATTCAATAAATTATGAATTGATTCGTACGTACAACTTACACAGCAATTTGAATGCAATGGATTTTCCCATCGATTGTTGACACGAGCACTCAATTGTTGGCTCATAAACTATTTGTAGTGAAATGTAATGTATTTGTTTGGAAGTCATTACATACTCGTATTAACAATGAATAATGAAAACTGTGTCAAAATACATTTACCTAGCTACGCTTGGCAAATAATATAACTGATCACAATAAAATTATAATTTAAAAGCAGAGGTATGAAGGATACTTGAACGAAAATTATTTAATGAGCTTGTCAGTGGGCGTATTGTATGATATACACCTACTGTCTACGTATACTATGCTCAGCTATACGTAAGTTTGACGTACTTTTGGATAGATTACCAAATTATTTTAATAGTGTCTGACACGAAATGCCCTTTAAAAATGGAGTCATTATGAATTACTACATTTAAAAATGTTCATCATCAGACGTCTCCAAAAGCACACTTAAGTATTATTATACTCGGAATTTTAAAACATACATAACCGTACACTTGAAATTCTGCCGTCAAGTAAGCTAGAGGTAAGGTATTTCCGTCTAATAAAAAGGCTCTGATTTTCGCTTTGCTATACAACCAATTCACTAGGAAATCGTTGCCACAGCTACTTGGAGAACACTCTAGTGATAAATATTTGGCACTTTTGTTAAGTGTTTACCAAGCTTCTATACCAATTTGCGGTGTGCGTCCTGATGTTGTAACACAAACTGAAGGGACCTACAATTTTACGAAGCCCCCCAACTGGAAATGGTTTTATGAGAAGCTTATAAAGGCCGAAATACAGACTTAGATTTGCCATTGACTGCCGAGGGGCGACCTCTGTTAAAAAAAAAAAAACTTTTTCTCAGATGTTACTAGGACCAGGGATCAAACACAGGTACGCTCCTCTAACTATACATTCATACTAAACTCTAAGCTAATGCCGAAAAGTAAGGCCCGCCTCTCCCGTCTCTCTAGAACACAAATTCTTTAGGTGATCTGCAGTATCGTACTGATTTCAATAGGGACAAGCCTTACATACTTCCTCAAACTTACTATAGCATTTTCAGTTTAAATGAAACTTTTTTCAAATTAAATGAAACCTTTTTCAGATGAAGCGAAACCTTTTTCAATTTAAATGAAACCTCTTTCGGATTCAATGAAACTTTATTCAAACCAAATGAAACTTTTTTCAAATTAAATTAAGCTTTATTCAAATTAAGTATTAAGCATTTTTAAATTAAGGAACAGGAAATCAACTTAACCTATTAAGAGCCGTTTGCACCATGTCTGGCTAACACTAAAGGCTCTTAGCCCAGTTATGCGTACTTAGCTTTGCATGAGAGTTGTCACATAAGAATCTGTTAAATGGGCTTTGCACGTAAGCGGTTACCTAACGCATAGCACTTAACATGTAGAATTCTGTTGGGTTTTGATTTTTACGTAAAAATGGTATAGCAGTGCAAGTATGCATAACTGGGCTATCTGTTATGCATACTTGGATTGCTTGAGAGTTGTCACATAAGGAATCTGTTAAATGAGCTTCGCGTGTAAGCTGTTACCCAATGCACAGCATTACATACGTAGAAGTCTGTTGGTTTTTGATTTCTACGTAAAAACACGTACGTAACAGAGCCTTAACTTCCAGTTACACATCGTTATCGACGTTATCGAGGCCATACTTATATCAGGGAGACGATAACGCCGATTATGATGTTTAACTGGGAGAATATTTTTACTGTTGCTACACGAATTCAAAGCTGTCAACTATTATATTCTTAAGGGAGAAGAGGGAAATAAAGTACAAATACTCTCCCTTCTCACTCACTCGCTTAAGCGAAATGTAAAATTTAGCATTTGCATAACAATTATCTAATTATTTTCTTCTAACTTAAACAAAGTCTATGGATTAGAGCACAGTCTAATCACGACAACATTCAACTTCGGTTCAAGAATAATTTTGACATGTCCCATTTCTCTTTTCCTTTTCACATCATCCTGTACATGTACTCCCGAAAACAGAGATATTTGAAGTTTTATAAAATGAATAAATTATATGATTTGCCTAGTTATCAAAACCCCTCGAAAATCACAACAAACCAACCAACCTACCAAAGCCTTATTTTAAAAAATGAAACTACCAATTTTGGTCCAATTGGACCGAAACGGCAACACTGTATTCAACATGCCTTGACCGTAAGGGAGAGCAACACGTAACAGCTAATTCAAAGTAATCCAAAAAAGAAGTTTCATTTCATTTGAATAAAGTTTCATTTAATTTGAACAAAGTTTCATTTAATTTGAATAAAGTTTCATTGAATCTGAAAAGGGTCTCATTTAATTTGAATAAAGTTTCACTGAATCTGAAAAAGGTTTCATTTAATTTGAAAAAGGTTTCGCTTAACATGAAAAAGGTTTTATTTAATTTGAAAAAGGTTTCGCTTAATTTGAAAATGGTTTCATTTAAACTGAAAATGCTATATCTTATGGCGAATATCAACAACTTAAAACTTCACTAAAGACTTTGATCATCAAAACAGGGCTAAGAATGCTTTGCCTAAAAAACTCATCTACCGGACGGACGCAGTAAAGCAAAGCGGAGTGATGTTGCTATCAAACCAAATTTGAATCAGCAAAATTAGTACTAAATACTTGGAAATTTTTCGGGTTTAAAATTTTGTTTCTTCAGCATAAAGTTTTTCATAAAATTCATAATTTCGCTACTCAAAAATCTACAGGCATACCTTCAGGCCGCAAACTCAAACAACAAATTTTCGCTTAAACGTCGGCCACTCATATCTCTCATCCGACTTAGTACTATCAGCCAGCAGACCTAAGACAAGCAAAAACTTGTATCAAGCAACAAAGAAATTTTGGCTTACGATTGTTAACCCCCTGTGCATATACGCTTCATTCATTTCGCTTTAATGCAATACTCCCATAGCATTGATTGGCTTCACAATCGATTGGCTGCACAGATGAACCGCCAGATTTCTCTACTGCCAGCACACACACACACACACGAACATACATACGCGAAACCCCTACCAGCGTCTAACTATGTACGTACTCTTGTAAAGCGCACTCGGAGGCTGGCTTATCAGCAAATTGGCTTATCGTATTCATGCCAGCGCAACTTAAAAGCCAAATCGTACACAAAACGATAAGCAAATGCTCTGCTAACTAGCTGCACTTACGCGCGCACAAGAAGTCAAAATGCAATGTTGCTGGTTTTTTTGTGCTGCTGCTGCTACTGCTACAGCTGGTGTAGGCTGTAGAACAGCGCTGCAACTAACTGACTTTATTTCTTATCTTATCTTGTTGTGCAACCGATAACGCGAAAACATGTTGCATCCATCAGCAAAGTTGAGTGGTACATGACTGAGACAGACACAATGTGCAACAACAACAACAAGGAGAGTGAAATATGTAGTGCAGCAGCAAAAATTGTGCAGAAAAATAAATGAAAATACATATTTTTTTTTTAAGTGAGTTATTTTATGTTTGCGTGCATGTGTGAGTGACCTATGGTACAGTCATGGAAGCGCGGTGGAGCAGCAGCTATGAGCTTAAACAAGCAACCGAAATGGCAGTGGGAGTGAGTTTTGGTAAAAATGTAGGAATTCCTTCCTAAGAATATAAGAACCAACAGACTTGAATAGAAGAGGCACACAAAACTTCTGAAGACGGTTTTCTGCTTCCAGATTAAAGATATGCAAAACTTGCTCACCAGCGGTAAGTTCTTTATCATCCATCCAGCTTCTTCAGAAAAGCAATTCCAGCAGGTCAGTTCGCATTAAGATCGAATACTAGTCTCGCGCCATCAAGCCAAGTCCTCGATAGAAGTTAAAGTAAAATTTTAGTTGTATAGTTCTTCGGTTAGATCAATCAATCGCTTTGTTACTTCTATTCGGGGCTGGATAACCACTGAAATCTACCGTGAGAGATCCTTCTCGAACTGATTGTGACATATTAGCATAAATCTCTAGTCCTGAGATGAACTTGAGTACCAACGGAAAAAGCTAACATCTATCTGGAAAATAGGTAACCTTTGGTCAGTTGGTATTATCAAAGTATATGGCCAATAGGAATCATCTTTTTCCACTCCTGTATGCTCAAAGTCAACGCCTCGAAAGCGTTTGTCGTTTTATTAAACCACTGAAGAGTTTTTGGTAGGGATCATCAAGCGAGTCAAGCAAGCTTTGGGGTGCCAGCAGCTTATTACTTCAATAAGTTTGATTATAAGACATTTGCGAAGTGCATGCAGTTAGGTTAGGTTAGGTTGAAATGACTGCCTGCGGCCAGACTAGGAAAGAGGTACAGCTAGGCCCATCGGGTCCATTATGGTACGAATTGAGAGCTAGTAGACACAGTTGGTTGGAGTAATAAATCGCGAGAGTTTAGAAATGGCTGCTTCGCTAAAGAGATAAAGATTTGGTGGTGAAATGAGCGTGTTCTTGTCCACGAAAGGGCATTAAAAAAGGTAGTGTTCCACACTCTAATTTACTTGCTCGTCACAGTAACTGCGACAGAAGTCATTGCCCGGAGAGCCTATTCTGGTAGCACGCCTTCCCATCAAGCAGTTACCCGTTGTTGCTGGAGTGAAGGTCCAGATATAAATCTGGGTCGTTCCGGTTACGTAGACCCGACTGCCGTGGGAACGCTATAATTCCGGTCAAGTGTCTTAGTAGAAGGCGTTCTAACCAAATGAGTCATACAATCTTTTCTTGTTGAAGCTGGTCCAGATTTTTCGAGACGTCCCACATGTGAGTTCTTCCGTCCATCTTTTATTTGTCCTCTCAACGAGGTGTGTTACAAGCAGGTTCGACAGGTATATAGCGATATACCCGTATAGAAAGTTGACGTCAGACAGATAAATATCTAGGCGAGCCTATTGTGATTATGGCAGTCATTTTACAGGTATATAGTATTATGGATGTTTTGTTTTGGTCACGAAAAAATAGTTGGCGATCGGATAGATCTACAGCCTGCGAGCGCTGATGAGAATGGCTTCGGTCTTGCGGACTTAACCATTCGTCGTCAACCGCGAAATCAACGAGTGTTGCGACTTTACGTGCAGTAAGCCACAATAAGTTATCGTTCGTTATGCTCTACGTCCACCCTATCTAGCATTCTATATCTGGTTCACGAGTTCATTTTTTCCTTCGCCTTCCTTACAGATCTGTGTGTTGTAAATTCAGTTTGCGAAAGCAGTTGAAATTGGAGACTTTCCACGATTTTCAAAATATTGTACCTTGTTGTAATTAAATACG